TCTCTGTGTTTTTCAGCATTAATGGAGACGTCACAGAAGTGTAAGTGACCTTTGCCAAGGGCACTGACACAACCCCAGACCATGACAGACCCTGGCTTTTGGATTTGTTGCTGGTAACAGTCTGGACAGTCCTTTTGGTCTTTGGTCTGGAGCACATGGTGTCCATTCCTTCCAAAAAAAGACCTAAAACACTGATTCATCTGACCACAGTACATGTTTCCACTGTGTGATGGTCCATCTCAGATGTCTCTGAGCCCAGAGCTTCTGGACACTGTTGACATAGGGCTTCCTTTTGGCACAGTAAAGTTTTGAGCAGCATTTATAGATGTAACTACATATTGTAGTGCCTGACACAGGTGTGCCAAAGTAATCCTGAGCCCACGTGGTTATATTGCTTATAGGAGAGTGACGATCCTTGATGCAGTGTCATCTGAGGGACCCATTCATCTTAGGCTTGCGCCCTTACCCTTTACGCACTTAAAATATACATGAATATGAAAAATATACAGTGTACGGTCAGGAAACAAAAGACATAAACATGAGAATAACAAAGAATTTGTGATTGCAACAATTTTCTAAGATGTGGTGTGTTATTTGACAGAAATGCAGTGGTGCCAATATTTTTGGCCATGATTGTAATAATTCAGTTGTGAATTATTACTAACCCACTTTTTTATATAACCAAAATATCATCATGAAACTACAACAGATTTGATAAAGCCACTGTCCTCTACCTGCACAGTACAACAGCCACACAGCAGGGTAAAATAAATAGCAAAATATCCTGATAGTTAGGAGATACTAAAATAGAATGAACAGACTAAAAGGAGAATAAATACTGGACGTAAATATCAATGGAATGATAATATTGCCTTGTTTGTGGTGGATGTACAAATTAGAAATTATTAACTAATAAGTTCACCATAAAGTTCTAATATGTCAGATTATAAAGTGTGATATGGGTGACATTTTTTTGTAAACCAACCTGAAAGTTAGCATTGCCCTGGTTCACTCAACAAAAAGCCAATGGGATTTTTCCACAGCCTTATGGATTATTGCAGAAAATAAACTCTGTGACAAATAACAGTTTATGACACTTACAGGTTTTGTTCAGCAACATAATCTTCATAAGTGAACACCACTGTTATGATTTTGAAACCCCACATACAATCACCAGAAATAAAAAGCAATTGTTAGGCTATAAACGAAACACAGTGTCACCACTATGACTTCCAACTTGTAATCTGATTTATAGCATGTACCTCTTTTACAAAATCCTTTCCTCTTAGCGTGAACTGATCCAGCTAGTGATCATGGCTGGGTCAGTTAGTTAGAATAGTTTGCAAGTGCACAAGCTTACAAATAAAGAGACTGTAAAGGTGGACTATTCAGTAGAGGAGTCTCTGTGATGATGTGTAAAATCCCAGACAGCCTCAGTAGTCTCATTTAGCTACTTGTTAGCAGCCGTCTTTTTTAAGATGTATAAAAGTATTAAAAATCATGAGTGGGGTATTTACTGATGTATTTTCTTTCATAGGACAAAACCTGAAAATGTATTAACCTTGTGTTAACAACAGACCTTATTTCAAGCATCTAACCAAAAACCCATTGACTTCAGGGTGAGGGAACTGGAAATGCAAAAATTCTGACTCAGTTCTGGGTTTTAGGACTCATTACTACGACACCCTATAGTGGCCTCAGTTGGTCAAAAAAATCATGTACTGCAACTTTAAATGAATATGAGGATGCATGGGGATAAAAGAGCCAATTCAAGAGAGAATCAAAGAACTCCATGATGCCAAGAAAAACATTTTTCCTGATTATCTCTTGTTGATTGCCAAAAAGTTTTAAATAAGACCAATCCAATCACATAAAAGGAAAAAGCTAACCAATGTAAACACTGGGGATACACAGCACATTTTGGAGAGAAACACTGAGTGTAAACAATAGTGGGGTTGCTCATAGGAAAACTGCATACAGTACCCAGGGCAAGACTAAAACTTTACTGTAATAAAATTACATTTGATGATACATAACAAAATTTGTTAGAAGAATGTCATAAGGCAGTGTTGACTACTACATAGTACTTTAACAATTTAGCAGAAAGCACAGAGTGACAGAACTCATATTAGCTGATATCAGTAGAACCTTTTTTTTGCTTTTGTAAATCAGTTGTAGTGCACAATACCAAGGCTTAACATATAACCACTATAACACTAAAATTAAAGCACATGCAAACTCACATTTACCAGGATCCTCCTGTCCTTTTAACAGGTCACTTTTCCAACACAGGCAGTTTATAACACCAGTACCATCATCCACTGTGAACAGAAGGAAAGATACTCCAAATCAGACCAAGAATATTTTGTTTTTGACATCTGGAATTCAAAGCCATCGTTTATGTTTTTAGGCTTTTACACAACAGGAGAATGTGTGCCAGTTTGTAAAATGAAAACAAAAACTGGAGCATTGTCACAGATGGAGACTTGCTGAATGCTCTATCCATAACATACAGTGAAGAACAGAAGTATTTGAACACCTGAGAAAATCAGTGTTAGTATTTGGTACAGAAACCTTTGTTTACAATTACAGAGGTCAAACGTTTCCTGTAGTTCTTGACCAGG